GGGAAAAACATTTCCTGCCAAAAACGTTCATAAGGGACAATGCCCCAGCCTGCACTGCCTGAGAGCTTGTCTACATGGGGAAGTTATTGCACAGCAAGCTAGGGTGTGAATTTACAGCGCATGAGCTCCCTGTGCAAAGACTCCTATTGCACACAGAAAGTGCCTTGTCTTACAATAGGTGCTCATGAGCCACCTAAATCTCTCTGGGATTCTCTGCTCTTTCAGACCTCAAGAGGCCCACAGGAAGGGACAGATGCCTCCGGATCTCCTCCCCCAAAGCTCCCTGCTCCAAGAGCTTGCTGATGCCAACAAACTCAGTGTTGGGGGAGGTAGGGAAGTTTCCCTCCTGTGTACCTCAGGAGCCCCACAGGAAGGGGGAAAGCGCCGAAGCCCCTGGCCCAAATCCCCAAACTGTAAAATGTTTGTTTTGAATGATGTGACTCATCAAACAGGGCAAAACTTCACCTAATGCAAAATGCTGACTTCTTACAAAAGGTGTTATCTCCTGCCCACCAGGAAGGGCTACTGAATCCAAATGGGCCATTGTGGAACATCACAACACAAAGACTTTGTCAAGAGCCCTATCGCATCCATAAAGAGCCTTTGTGCAAAAGGGCTCATCCCATCTGCTTGAATTCCGAAAGAAGGAAATAAAACTAGATGACAAGAATATTTTTCATCTCTCTCTCTCATTGCTGTTTGGACTGTCACAGGGCTGGAGCTGGGAAACAGGAGAAGAGATCGCCAGGGTCAGGCTGGGTTAGCCCTACAAGACATTCAATGCTGACAGATTACTACAACTCTGTCACCTTTTGGAACCATAGACTGTCACTCATTTGTGTCTGTACGTTGCCTGCTTTAACCTGTAAATAACATTCTTATTTATTTTTCTTAGTTAATAAATCCTCATTTAGTTAACTATAGGATTGGTTGTAAGCGTTGACTTTGGTGCAAGATCTAAAGTACAAATTGACCTGGGGAAGGGGACTGATCTCTTGAGACTGGCAGCAACCTGGATATTTTGTGATCTTTGGTGTAAGTGACCATTTATCACTTAGTGCAGCTTGCCTGGGTGGGAAGATAAACTGGAATGCCCAAGGGGACCATCTCTGACTCCATGGAAGGACTGATATAGTGATCCAGGAGTTCACATTTGTTACTGACATGGTGAAATCTAATTATAGAACACACCACCAGTTTGCGGTGTCTGCCCTGAGGTTGGCACTCATGGTTGTGAGCCACTCCAGGCAGCACGACAGATGTGCTTGGCTTAAGCTGCTCATATTTTTGCTGACTCCTCATGTGCAAATTTGCACATCTACGGTGAAGGTGACTGCAGAGAGACTGCAGCCTGAGGTAGCGCAACTGGTCATTTTCCATAGCTAATATTTGCATTGCAGGAATGCGACTACAGCTGCAGCCTCGTTCTCTTTGTGAGCCACAAAACGTTGCAACATGCCCATACCACTTCCAGTTTGCTTGTGCTTTCAGTGCCAGTTGGTTTTGGACATAGTGGGACTACGGACAGGAAAAGACAGTGGATTCATTTTCATGCGGGCGAGCAGGAGAGCTGAGGATGTGACAAGTAGCTTTGCTTTGAGGACTTTTATCCTCAGCTCCTTCGGGGGCTCTCTTGTTGTCTGCACACAGCTGTGTCATTGGCAGCGATGTCAGGCACAGTCCTGAACGGGAAAGGCTTGCTCCCTTTTACTCTCAGTCGAAGACCCAAAGAAAGCACTAATAGCAATAAAGACAGTGGTGGCAGTGAAGCTAGAACCGGCTGGGGTAGTGCATGCAGATGGCATTAGCAAGACGGGCTCAGACTGCAGTTCTGCCCATCACGGCAGACGGCATTCACAAGCTAAGTGGGGGCCAGCTGGCCAATATAACCTCAGCTTCCAAAGCTCCTTCCAAGTTGGCCAAACAAATCCATGGACCAGGAATTTCTCATGTGCAGTCTGCCTGCCGGGGAGAATGGCTGGGGGTGGGATTGTTTGCCTGAAAATCTGCTAGCAGTTGGACAAGGTGTGTCACTTAGGCCTGGTCCACACTACAAGGTTAGGTCAATGCCAGGCAGCTTACATTGACTTAATTATGTCAGCGTCTACACTTGAATGGTGCTTCTGTCGAAGTGAGTCTCCCTGTACACCGACACAGTAACTCCACCTCCACAAGAGGCACCGGGCTTATGTTGGTGTAGTTAGGGCAATGCAGCATCCATATAGACACTGCATTGCTTATGTTTGCCTGTCAGCCCCCAGTGGGGCTGACAGCTAGAGCCTGCCCCCCACGCCCTGGTTCATGGCTGCCCCCACCCTGCCCTAGTGCTGACAGCCCAAGCGTGGGGGCCAGCTGTAAGTCAATGCCCAGCTGACAACTTAGGCCATCAGACCCAGGGCTGCTGGGCTCCTGCTGTCAGTGCCCCACAATGCCCCAGCCAGTTCAGTCAGTGAAAGCTCTCATAGTGAGGATGTGCACCACAAACAGAAGGAGCGTAGTGTGGATGTGAACCACTGCTTTAGTTACTGCGGTGGCTGAAGGTCAATTTAATTTTGTAGTGTAGACAAGCCTTTACATGGCGACAGTTTGAATCAAACCAGAGGTTTGGGTTTTTGCAAATGTTTCTGAACTTGTTGGGGAACAAATAGCTTGGACTAGAAACTCCACAGCTGACTAGTTCCTTTGGCCCCTGGGAGGGCTGAGGCTTTCAACTAGTTTGGGAAAACAGGAGAGTTCATAGGGAGCTGGTTCACTAAGTATTTGGAAGCCATGGTCTTTGTATAAAAAACTGCAGGGTACGATCGTGCAGCTTTTTATGCTTCCTGGCTTGTATTCATGGGAGGATGTTACAAGAGGAGAGACCCCCACTGGGATCCTACAGAGCTTTCAACCTACACAGGACCAGAAAGAGCCCCCAGGGCTAACAATCTCTTCAGTTTGCTCTATGGACTCCCAGACCCAATGGGCTTGTGGCTCCTCATCTTGACGGCTGCCCTGGCTGAGACCACGGAGAGTAGCCACGGTACCTGCAGAGGTTTTTATAGGCTCCACACGAGGAGAATGCAGCTGAAGCATCTGCCTAGCCTGGAGCTGCTGGGTGCTGAGAATTTTTAAAAATCAGACATTTCATTTAGGCACCTAAGTGGGAGCTGAACTCTTTTGAAAATCTGGCATCTTATCTCTGTCATTAATGTCTGCAAAAGAACTTAAATCGACAGAGTGAAATCCTGGCCCCACCAAATTCAATGGAGCCAAAATGTCACTCTTTGTCTTAATGAAGTTGCGTCTGGGAATTATTCATATATTTCCATTCAAAGTGTTAGCTATCATGGCCTGTTTGTCCCCAGATCTTACAAGCCTGATGGGTTTTGTGCTGGGTCCTGTGTCTCTTTGATCATTGCAGTCCAAGTCCAATGTGCTATAGCTCACAAGATTTACCATGCTATTCCACAGTAGCTTTGTTCAACACCACTTACTGAAATGCAGTCATCTCAGGCCCATGACTCTCTCCATCTCCATTGCAATGTAGCTAATCTGTCTGTTCTCTCGGCTAGCTTTGTGCTTACTGCTTCTCCTTTGCTCACAACGAACGAGTGCAAAGGGCACACAACAAAACAGATTCATTCCTAGTACAAAAGAAGGGGAGTTTTTAGGTCAAAATGATCATTTGCCCAGCCCACCAGCATAGGGAAATAGAAAGCATGCTGCCCACATTCCCAGTTCCTGTGCAGGTGGCAGGGGGACAAGCAGGTTCTACAGGTCTCCATCCTGTGCTGGTTGGCTGAGAATGATGAGAAATGGATGGGGCCGTGGATCTGCCACACCCTCCCTCAATGCATGGCCAGCAGAGCTGAGCTAAGGCACAGTGGGGAGTCACCTGGTTCTGCTACGGCCTAGAGCATAGGGATGAGTCCCAACCCTTCCCTGCACTGCTTTTGGAGCATCCCAGCTACCCACTGCCCCTTGCATAGGGAGAGGCACTAAGTGACAATGTAGCCCCTTAGCAGCCACTCCTTGATCTTGCAAACTCTGTGCAGTCCACAGTGGAGTTTGAAAAGATGTCACATGCCTGCACAAGTGCCAGCAGAGGCTGTGCGTGGCCACAGCTATGCTTAAGCCCTGGGAGCGTTAAGTCTGAAACCAACGGGGCCCTTGCCTCCTTACATGCAAAGCTGAAGTGGGGAAAAGTATGGGTGTGTCTGAGGGTGTATGGGCTTGCATGTCACCCCCATGCTAACGAGGTGCTATGTTCCTCTCTATGATATGAACCCATACATTGGTAGTTGTGCAGCCATGTTCTTGGCCTGCTGGGCAATCCGCTTGACGTCTCCGTGCCTAAGTCTCACCATCTGTAAAAGGGGGTCATGGCACTTATCTCTTTTGCAAGGCATTTTGAGATCTATAGATCACTACGTATTGTTATTATGGATAGAGAATTGGATTCCAGTGTGATCTGCAGCCTGCTTAGAGTTGTGTTTAGACACACAGAGCACCACATCTGTTCTGCATAGCGTCCTCTCGATAAACATCATTTTCACAGTTTGCTGACGTGCCCTCACTTCTGCTCAAGACCAGTATTCAATTAGTCTGTAGCAACAATAATGACAGCGTTAATCCTCTCCAGTTCCTGTATGTCACAGAGTTCTGTAGTCACAGCCATCTAATTAAAATGAAAATCTCTGATAGCTTTTGTAGAGAATAAATGTCTTCAAGTAAATAATGGCCATGGCAAATTATTTTCATTGCTGGTGAATTATAATGAGTGTGGAATTTTAAAAATTTGTTTTTAAGGCCAGAAGGAACTATTACAATCATTTGGTCTGATCTTCATCACCACACAGGTCAGAGATTTCACCCAATGACTCCAGCACCGAGTCCATAATTTGTGACTGTAATATTTGCATTCATTTACCCTGCGAGTTGGGTTTGGGTTTGATTTTGTCGGGAAAAGCCCACAATATTTTCTTGGGCTAATTAGGTTTTCTTCTCTCTTTTTGAAGGATGAGAAGAATCAGGTGCTGATAACGAATGCTTGGCTACAGATGGTGAGTAACTTTGCATCAGCACTGAACAGAAATTGTTGTAACAGGAACTTACTGAATATGATCCTTTGGCAGAAGAACTGTCTGTCATCCTCTATACTGGGACTCAAGCAAATTGAGCTCTTGGAAATATTGCTGAAGGAGGAATGGGGCAGGATTTCCAAAGAAGCACACAGGTGGAAGGTGTCTGACTCTGATCGGCTTTCAGTGGGAGCTGGGTCCTCTGAAAATCCCAGTTATCACTTCCTTTCAGATCTGAAAATGAAATGATCGGCCATATTAATTCCTGTTGTAACTCTGATGAGCTCAGTGGAGTTGGTCCAATGAGCCTTAAGGCACAGATGTTAATAAATGAGGATCTAAACATGTCATTGAAATTGGAGGGCTGGTTTTCAAAGGTGTGGGCATCCTGCAGTTTCCACTGAAGTCAATGACTGGGATTTCCAAAGGTGCCTCAAATCCTAATGAAGCTGCACATCTTGCTTTCTTAAACTCCTTTGAGAATTCCAGATAGTGTCTAAATATGGACTTAAAGGCCTGACTGTAGGACCCAGGGGAAATTTCCAAGAGTGCCTAAGGAACTTAAAAGAATAGGCCCATTGCAAATCAATGGGGCAGACTCCTAAACCACTTAGGCACTTTTGGAAATCTCCTTCTCTCCCATTTTTTTTTAAATCCCTTAATTCTTAAGTAAGTCTGATCTGCAGTGAAATGCGTACAAGGAAAGCTCAGAGTTGTTGTCCCTGTGCACTATTACTCATGAATGAATGTTCCAGCATAGGATTAAGCATTGCCGTATGGTATGAGGGATCATTTATTCTTATGCAACATAAAGCTGAGCTTCTGATTCATTGGCGCTGCCTCTTCAAAGCTAAGAGATCACAGGAGAGACGAATGATTGAACTAACTCTAATGTTACATTAGAAACCAAATATATTATCTGAATGGAGCAAATGATCCTTCTGCTTGTCCCCCAACTACATGGTAGTTTATAGTCTGAGTGATCTTGGTTATAAAAGAAGAATAACCTAAACAATTCCAGCCTATACTTTTATACTGCTGCCATGTTATCATTTTCATACCCTCTTGTGTGCATAGACTTTGGACAGGAGAACCTAGACACTCTGTAGTCTTCAATAAAGAATTTGTATTGATCCCAAAGTTCAGCAAAAATTCAAATCTGGTATTTTGGGTGGGAGAGGGGAAAAGATCAGACAATCATTTTGGAATACAGAGTGCAATTGTATGCTTTCCAGGCCAGGCCCTCAGCTGGTATAAGTGGGCATCCACTGATGTAACACAGGAAATAAATATTTCCTTAGAGATTTTTTTAAACAACAAACATGTTAAAATGTAATAGTCCAAATGTTAAGTCATTACACTGTGAGCTCCTCAGTGCATACACCTGTCTTTTTCATTGTTGTCACTTGTTATTAACCCTAAAACAGTAATTATTATGTTATCATTGCTGTTGCTAATATTCATTATATTTCCAGAGCACCCAAATGTGCCAGGCATACAGGAAGATATTCCTTTCCCCTATGATCCTACATTGTAGAAATGATAAATAACATTTGTGTCTATATTTTCCTACAGTACTGGATTGACGTTTACTTGTCTTGGGATCAGTACGCATACCCAGGAGTCCAGAACTTACGATTTCCCTCTGACCAGATATGGGTACCAGACATTCTTCTGTATAACAGGTACGGAAGGTTTATAAGAACTGAGACAAACACTGAGTCAATTCCTCCATTGGTGTAAATCAGCATAGCTCCATTGACTTCAAACGGAGATTACGCCAGCTGAGGATCAGGTTTATGGCCTCCAAACAATGGAAACAAACCCAGACAAGTGCTGCAGTACAGTGAAAAGTCTAGATGGAAGCACAGAGTTATCTTAACGATGCTCGTAAAATAGAAATGGCTTGAGGCCCTTGGCCATGGTCTTTATAATGAAAGATTAAGTTATGATTACCTATCTTGTGCTAATGTAAATAATTATCCTGGTTTCATTTGTTGTTTGTGCTTTTGTAGTCTTCTGGTACAGCCTTATGGAAAATTAGATGATGTTCGCACGTAAAAATATCACAATTCCATATAGCTAAAAGACTACGTATAGGGACCGAGAAAGCCCATGAAACTCAATAGAAATAGTCCTATTAGCTTCACTGGGAGTTGAATCGGGCCCTAAGACTGTAAAATAATTATGAAGTGCCCTTCAGTTCAAAGGGAGTGCAGGACGATGCCAGCACGGAAAAGTCTGCGATAGCTGTTTTGAATGCAAGTTGTATAAAATATCAAGATCCGAAGGGCTAGATTGTTTGATTCAGTTTGGATAAGTATCAAGCAGTCTGGAAGCTTCCCCAAACCTCAACTAACTCCTGAAATTATAGAGTTCTAACCCACAAGGTCTGCACACAACGTTGTGCCGATTATTACTATTGGTATCTGTGTAGCACCTAGGAGCCCCAGCCATTGACCAGGACCCCACTGCACTAGGTGCTGTACAAACACAGAACAAAAAGAAAGCCTCTAAGAGCTTACAATCCAGATCCCTGATTGCTCACTGATCACCCACAAAGACCCGCCAGGCTTGCCACTATGCCATCTGAGCCCCCGACAGTTCCCTTCCTTCTCCAGCCACTTCACCCCTGGCCTATGACTTCTTGCTCTCTTTGAAGAGCAGCTGCAGTTCCAAGCAACTGCTATGCTAGCACCTAGTACCTCCACCTTGAGTAAGGTGCCACTGGGCCAGAGGTTACAAAGGTTATCATTGTCTCCCATTGTCACAGCCTTGGCATCAAAGGCACTGAGCTCTTCTGAAAATCAGGCCATTTCACTTAGTTGCCTAAATGGGAGCGGAACTCCTTGCAGCAGCTCTCCCTCAGTGACTGGGGCCATGTGAGGGTCCAACCAGCTGGTTGAGAGATGCTTTATCCAACTGATCTAAATCTTGAAAGAAGATCCAAGCTCAGTTTGGCGTGAGCTAGACGTTCCAACTAATGATATTTTACAAAGTTTACCCTCCTGACCCTAATCCATACACCCGCTATTCAGAAATTAATGATCGTTACCTTACTGTTCACCACATTTTGAATTCAAGTGCCTGTGGGGGTTTTTTGTGTTATGCTTTAGTGCGGATGAAAGATTCGATGCCACGTTTCACACGAACGTGTTGGTGAATTATTCTGGATCTTGTCAGTACATTCCTCCAGGTAAGAGACTGATTTTGTTTGTTGGTTTAAATCAATTTACTTTAATAGCGTCAGTCAATTCTCCTATTTAGAGAATTAATTGTATCAGTTTAAAAGCAGATCTGGATGAGAAGCTTTGTGCGCTGTATGCTGTGGGACAGACTTTCAAAAAGAATTCAGCTTCTATTTTAGGCCCCTAAATACAGGCCAGATATTGATAAGTGCTCAGCATCTGTGACAAAAAAGTTCAGCATCATACAATGCTGAACCTTTTAATGATCTGGCCAGCTTTTCATACTGCAACATATTAGGTCATATAATGAATGACATTTTAGATGGAATTAGCACTAAGAGGCCAAGATTTCAAGGGCTAAACATTTTAATCCTGTAGCTTTTTTTCTGAAATCTATTTGTTTAAGGTTGTTGTGACTCAGATAATGAATTTATATTTATTAACTGTTCTGTACACAAGTAAAAATGCATGGTACAGTGATGCTGCTACAGCTTATACCAGCAGTTCTCAACCTGCGGCCCGCATGCGGCCCAGTTAGCACACAGCCCATAACGATAAAGGAGTTGAGAACCACTGCTCTAGGGGCAAGATTCACAAAGTAACTTAGGCGTCTAGAAAACCACTGGGATTCACAAAGCCTGGGTGAGGCGGTCAAGCCTCCAGTACAACGGGACAGAGCTAGGTGCCTTAGAATGGGATTCACAAAAGCCAGCACCTTAGGCAGCTCCCTGCAAAAGCTAGACCATGGGAGATACTAAGGTGAGGGGTAAGTACTTAGCCCCATCCCTCTCAGAGAGATAGGCACCTACATCTGGGCTGCAGAGAGACGCCTCCCTCTGCTTGGGATTCTCAGCTGAAAAGCCTGTTAGCATTAGGCATCTCTGCCATTTTTTGAAGAAGCCGGGGTGGGAAGGAGAACGGAGGAGAAGACACAGGACCTCCCTCATAATTTTTAGCCCAATGGTTAGAGCACTCACCTGGGATGTGAGAGACCTCAAGTCCTCCATCTGCCACATGACAAGGCGGGATCTGAACTGGGATCTGTCCCTCTCAGGGGAGTGCTGCAGCTACTAGGCTATTCCCTCGGTCTCCCCTATCAGAGCGGTTCCACTGTGGAGAAATAATGAGAGTTGCAGGGTGAGAAAGAGACAGCACAAGCAACTCTAAGAATTACTCTGTCGTCTGGTGTGCAGAGCACTCACCAAAGACTGGGGAGACCAGTCAGGGCCCCCATCCTGCCACTCCACTGATTACCCACAGTGGAACAGCTTCCACAGGAGAGAGAGTGAGGGCACTCCCCCATCAGAACCTCCCATCGCCCGGTAGTTAGGGCATTCTCCTCAGAGCCCTCTCCAGATCCCATCTCCCCCATCAGGGGAGTGGGGACTTGAACCAGGTCTCTCCCATCCCCTAACCAAGGGCTAAAAGTTGTGAGGAAGTGCCTCTCCCTTCCGGGGGTTGCGTGTGAGGTCTTATGTAGGGCCTGATACGGTAGGTGAGGTCTGCGCGTGCTTACCAGATCAGGCTGGCGGGCAAGTGACACAGAGGAACACCTCTCTTCCCCAAGTTCACACATCGCTCTGGGGCTTAGCCATTCAGACCCCTGGAGTGAGGCAACTCTGCACATGCCCAGAAGCAGAAACACAGGCACCTAAGGAACTTTTACGAAAAAACTTGGGTGGCAACGAGTTTACGGGACTATCGGGTTCTGCAGCAGCTGAGCAGGGGTTGTATGAATCTCACCAGGGTCCAATTCTGGGATTTAGGTGCTTAAAGTGGCCGTCAAGCATCTAAGTCTCTTTGTGAATCTCGGCCTATCTGCTTATGTCACTTCTACGGCACCATTCCTGTGGCATCTGAGTGCCTCACAGCCATTAGTGGGCTTATCCTCACTGCCCCCTGTGAGGCAGGGCAGTGCTGTTATCCTTGTTTTAGAGATGAGGAACTGAAGCACAAAGAGACAAAGTGACTTGCCCAACATCACACAGGAAGTCTGTGGTAGAGCAAAGACGTGAACCCCGATTGGTGGAGTCCCAGGCTGGTGCCCTGACCACTGGGAAGAGGAACTTCTCCGCAGCCAACTGACATGTAATGGTTCTCAGTCCCAGAGCAGAGACACATGGGATGCGGTCAGCTTAACTGCCATTGTGCCATTAACGGCCATTGTGTAGACTGGCACAGATTGGTAGAACAGGGTAGGATTGCCCAGCAGGCTTCCTCGGACATCTCCACACTGCATCTGGGAGTGAGTCCCCTAGCCTGGGTTCACAAACTAGCGTACATGGGACGCGCATTAGTGCACTAAAAATAGCTGCATAGACAATGCTCTGACACAACACAGCAACTTGGGCTGCCAGTCTGACCCCCCGCATCCAACCCCACCCCAGGCCTGAGAGCCCCAGTCTCACCCACAGCAATTTTGCAGAGCACTGCATGACCCAGGGTGGGAGGCTTGCACCAGATATAGTGCAGACCTAGCCCTAGAGGAAATACATGAGGGAAGACCTGGAGATATGGCCCAAGGAGAATAAGCATGGGAAAGAAAACCAAGGGGTAAAAGGTCAGGAATTTGTATGTTTGTTGATAGCCCAATAGCTGGTTTCTGTACTGGTGTATGTAGGTGCAGTGTCACTGAACTCAACACACCCACTTACATCTGGAGAGAATTTGGCCCCTATTTCTTTTGAAACACTTCATCAGATGGGTCTCTCAAGAACGTAACTGAAAAAGGAAAGTAATTTGGCTCAGGAAATCGTAAGTGCTGTCAGTGGAACAGTTGAATTAGAAATTCTAATCGGAGTCTGCTCAGATGGATTGAATCTAATCGTAGGGAGAGGCCTGACAATTCCACGGGATCTCAGCACAATGTCATTTCGTTTTGCATTTGCCCTTCAGACCTCAGATGACTGTTTCCCCCTCTAACTTCTATTCTCAGGCATTCTGAAGAGCACGTGTTACATTGACGTCCGCTGGTTCCCTTTTGATGTGCAAAAATGCAATTTGAAATTTGGTTCATGGACCCACAATGGCTGGCTGCTTGATCTGCAGATGCTTGAAGCAGATATTTCCAATTACATATCGAATGGAGAATGGGATTTAGTGGGTAAGTTGGCTCGCTTAGAAATCTAAATGAGTTGAAACTTTAAGGCAAAATGAATACATGGAAATGACGGCTCTTATCTGGACATTTGAAGTACAGGTATTAAAAGCTCCTATTTGAAAAGCAGTAGAAATCTCACAATTGGACTGCAGACAATGTTTCAAGTGTTTTCTTCCTTGTCCTGCTAAGTTAACTAAAGCTACATTAGGGAGCCTGTGGGTATGTTGCTGTGGGGTCTGATAACCTATGAAATTCTACTGACAACAATAGGTGCAGGGGGTCAGCACAGAATTTGGATCTCTGTGTCTTCTACACCCATAGTGAACTTCGAATCACGCTTCTGCAACTTATTTAGCCTAAAGGTGATTAGGTTAGAAAGTCTGATCTCAGCAAAATTCAGAAGGAACTCTTGCAAAACCCCAAAACCATATACTCAGGGCCTAGTCTACACTTCAAACTTGGGTCGACATCCCTACAACACTCATGGGTCTGAAAATTCCACACCCCTGAGGGCCCTGGCTACACCAACCTAACCCCCAGTGTAGACGCAGCTATGTCAACAGAAGAATGTTTCTGTTCACCTAGCTACCCTCGCCTGGGGAGGTGGAGTTCCTACAGCAACAGGAAACACCCTTCCGTCATGGTAGTATGTGTCTACACTATGGGCTTCGAGAAGCACAGCTGTGATGCTGTAGTAGCTATAGTGCCATCAGTGTAGACATGGCACAGAACAGCAAAGTCTCAATTCGATCTAGTCAGTAGCCTCCCCTCCGCTACATCAGGTCACTGCATTCCATTCTTTCTACCGTTCCAGAAGAAAACTGTACTTTTAAAAAGCGGATTCTTCTCACAGATTCTGTTCTTAGACCCAGCCTCTTCAGACCTGATTTGATCTCACTTATACAGGTGTAAATGAGGAGCAAAGCTACTGAGGTCAGAGTAATGCCAGTATAAAACCAGGCTAAGTGAGATCAGAATCAAGCTCTTTCATCTCTAAGGTGTATTAGCTTTATGCCCAGTAGAGATGTCAAGTTCAATCCCAGGGGAGGAAAGTCCTCAGCTACTTTACAGAGTTTCTACCAGGCATTTCAGGGAGCAGCTCAGAAAAAGTTTGTATATAACCCGCATCCATTCTGTGTTGCTCTGTCTGCATCAAGGGGTGGGTGGGCCACATATAGAACTTGCTTAGCTTGTTACATTGTAAGCTTGGTTTCATGTGGCCCTTCCCTGGAGGCTGGCAGCTGCAATGTGAAGTCTTAAGGCAGGGTACCTGAGAAACTAATGGGAACCATCAGGATTCTATTTTCAGGAAGGGTAAAGGACTCCATGGGGAGGGGAAAACCCCAAAGGTCCGTCTCACTCAGCGCTGCACTGGTTTTCAAATACTCCTCTACAGGTTTATCAGTTCAGAAGAGTGCCCCGTTTGGTTATTTCTGGCTTGAAATCCTGCCTTCAACAAGCATCACTGAGGAACATATTTGGTCTTTGAGTTGCCTGCGCTTGTTCCTGCAGGCCAGGATGGAATTGCGTCAGCTCTCACATCACTCCGACGGTGGCCAATGTAATAATGGGGTTAGATAAGCAGCCTGCCTAACACTACCATGGCCTTCTCTTCTAAAGAAGCCCCTTCTCTGTGTCAGCCTGACACACTGAAGCTACACATTATGGTGGGTCAGACTTGTTGACCCTTAAGCACCAAAGCAAAACAGTGAACAGTGAAGGAAGAGACGATCCAGAAGATACAACCAGAGGAGAAAACGGTGATGGGTGCTGTGTCTGTGCTGCCACTGTGGACATGGTCAGCTGCAGGGTCAGGCTGTAAACAGTCTTCTGCACACCGGGTGCGATGGACAACTATCGAAAGCCAGCCTGCCGCAGTGTCTCCAGACATCACAGTCACTAAGGCTGGGGAAGGCTAACTGTAGATACCCATTTCCGTTCCCTGCCCCCCAGCACTCCCTTGGAGCTAGGGTGGTCTATGTGGCAGTCACACCTTTGTTTCTCCTTCATCCAAGCCCCTTTAAGAACTCCCTTCTTTAATTCTCCCTTGCAGGCTTTCCCTGGCTAAGGTGCTACAGGAGCCAAACTTGCTCCTCAGAGTTTCCCTTCCACCAGCCCCAGCTCCACAGTCTCCTCTTTCCCCCAGTTTCCTGTCTCCAATAGTCTCAGCTAGTCTCCAAAACACCCCTCGCCTGCAGCTTCCTGCTATTTTTCAGACTGGAAATCACCTAACTCCTCTCAGGTGAGGCTCAGCTCATAATCCGAATTGGCTTAGCCCCCAGGCTCCCCAGCCCATGGGCAAGCCACCAAGTTAAACCTGGCATATTTCTAGTTCTGTCAAAAGTCTGACCTGGGTTCTTCTTATGACCAAACCAGACAAACACAGAACAGGGGAAAGAGAGGAAGAAAAGCAAATGCTAGGACACGGCAGCATCGGTCACATTTGCAGTTCAGTTGCTAGAAAATCAGAGGCACAATCTACAGCCCATGACACAGTTAGTGACTAGGTTACTCTAATTGTCCTGCATCCAGTCTGTGGTTAAGTCTCCTCTTACCAAGGCTGAGATGCTCAGGACTGCTTGGAGCTTTTCACAGCAAAATGTTGCAAGGTTAGATTCCCTGGCCGGCTAAGCAGGCTTCTTATTAATAGAAGGTGAGAAGAGAGATAAAAAGAAAAAAAAAAAGAGAGAGAAGGCTACGGAGGGGTTGGAAGAAGCAGGAACTTTACGTTCCCATCTCCAAGGTACTGAAAACACGGCCATGGAGGTGATGTTGATGTGGCCTGGGTTACCTTAACTCTGCATTTTCATCCTTTGACTTTTCCAGTTTTCCTTAATTAAAAACAAACCCTTTGAATTGCCTGACTTTCTGAAGTCTGTTTTCTAAAACCAAAACAGACACATTAACTAAGGCTCTCTCCATCTTCCCTTCAACTTACCTGTCTGTACATCCTTAGCTGCGGTGTCACAAAATGGGTGTGTCTGAGAATTGCCTTGAAATTTTTAGTTCTCTTTTACAAGAGTCACTGTGATATTTCAGTGCATATTATAGGTCCCGTTTTCAAAAGGGAGCCAGCAGGTCCCATTGGGAACAATGGAGAATCCCCACACACCCTTCTGAAACTGTGGCCATTATCATTTTAATAAGTGGGCTGTATGGCCTTCCACATATGCGACACATTAAGGCCTCGCAAATTACAATGAGAGCACTTGTGGGGGTGTATTGGCATGCTAATACGTGGATCAGACTTCAAAGATGGTACAGAGTGTGCGTGAAATCTCATGGTGCTCTCAGTTTCACACAGACCAGATCAGGTTACATTAAAATTAACCATGCCACCTTTCCAAAAAACAAAGCCACCACTTCTCATTGGGTTCCTAAGCCAAGCTGTTTTCCAGATGAATTTTCAGAAAGTGTGCAGACAGTTTTCCAGCTCTGATCTTCCACACTGCCATACCTGAATGCCTGTCTGAGCGCTACCAAACCTTCCTAAAATATCCCCCATCTGTCAGAGTTGCACAGAAGAAATTTCAGCTGGATCGCTTGAGTTTTGCCAATGCTGGGGGAAAGGAACTTATAAAAGACAATGAGTTACGACCTCAACAGCAAAAACTACCATCTGTCTCACATTCGGTTCTTCTTGCTGAAGAGAATTCAACTGTGAAAAACTGGCTGAATATACAAAGGATGAGTCTGCTTTAATTCAGCTGCAATATTTTTCTCCATTAATGAGTTATTCTGACAGGGTGCTGGGCAGGGACTGCTAAACCAGCCCTCTGTCACTCCAGCTCCAATTAAGGGTGGTAAATTGGAGCTGGCTAGACACACCTGTACCTAATTAGCCTGGGGCTGCATAAAAGCCTCAGAGGAAGGAAGCCAAGAGGGGCAGATGGAAAGGGGGAAGCCAGAGAGCGGAAGTTCATCTCTCCTGGCTGTAGAGGCTGGGAAGCCCTTCCGAGTGAAACCCCCATGCTCTACACGGTGGAAAGGTGGTGGGATTGCACTGTGTAAATAAACAACACCGATGACTGCTGAGCCAGAAGGTTTCCATGATTTTCGGTGCAGAGGCCAGACTGCGTGGGGGGCCCTGCTACGCCCTGTTACAGTTATATTGTTTCAAAAAATAAAAATTGGCAACCAATATGCCAGCTCGGAATAATTATTGTATTTCTAAATCCTGCAATCACTACATATATACAGTGAGCAAAGTAAGAGGGAAACAATCTTTTTATATTTCTATAGCTCCTTTAATCTCAGAGTGGTTTAGGACTGCACAACAGTGGAAGAAGGGAAGTTTTGACCAAGAACCTTAGAGCAAAACATAGAGTCATGGGATCTTTAATAGCTACACAGCACAGAAGATACCTATGTTTTTAATGTCTGTCTCTCTCTCTCACGCGCGCACACACACACAGAGTGCAAACCCCATTCTAATAAATTCCTTTAACAAAATAAAGATGCCTGTTGAGATTTGAACGTCCAGTTTGAGGGTTTGGGCAGCTGGCAACCTAGAGGGTTACACGATTGAACTAGTTCCACTAATGGGAAAGTGGCTCTTTGAGAGACAGCGTGGCCTAGTGATGGGAGTCGGGCTCGCAGGTTCTATTCTTGACTCTGCCCCTGACCTTTTGTGTGACCCTGGGCAAGTCACTTCACCTCTTTCCCCGTCCCATCCTTTGTCTATTTAGACTGTAAGCTCTTTGGGGCAGGGGCGGTCTCTTACTATATGTACAGCTTCTAGCACAAGGGGGCCCATCTCTCTAAGGCCACTAGGCGTTACCGTAGCGCATGTACTAACAATGGTCTAAACAGAATGCCTTTGAACGTTGGGTCCAATGCTCAGAGGCATAAAGTGCTGACTCAGAGTTGAGTGCTACACAGCTCCAGATATCAGGCCAGGTATCAGGCCAACTGCAGCTCTTTCCACCTCTGATTTCCTTCTGCGCAGGTGTCCCAGGGAAGAGGAACGAGCTGTACTACGAGTGCTGTAAAGAACCGTATCCAGATGTGACATACACTGTAACCATGCGCCGGCGCACCCTCTACTATGGCTTGAACTTACTGATTCCCTGTGTCCTTATATCTGGCTTGGCATTGCTTGTTTTCCTATTGCCTGCTGACTCGGGAGAGAAGATCTCTTTAGGTAAGGAAAATTAATTCCTTAGCTCTTCCTAGAAGTTTGGCATAAAAGGGAGGGTAAAAAGCTCAGCCTGCTATAGCCCTTGGCTAGTAGGGATTTCCCATGGTGGGAGCCCACTGAAAGCTGCAGACACTAATAGCAAGACGGCTTTCTTTGGGCCAGCTTGAGGAACCGTCACTCATATTAGTGAGCACTTACCGCAGGTAGCCCTATTGATTCACCACTATGTAAGCTCAGACATTTGTATTGATCTGAGCAAGGTGGTGATATAGCTTCCTGCTGATACTAGGTATTAATAAGTGGCTGGCCTTGATTTGGATTATTCTCTTGGTCCATGCTTTGAAAAATGAATGCAATTTACCAGTTCTGCAGGATAGAGTTAGACATCTCCATTGGACTAGGTGGAACAGTGGGTTAGGGCAATCGTCTTTTTCTTCTGAAACCTGGAGTTCATAGCCAAGTCACAAGGACAGAGAAAGCAGGTCTCAGGGGGCAGGCCTGGGCACATGCATGGAGAGGTTGAAAGCAACAAAGGCTTCCTGAGATGAACCGTGATTACACAAGGCTAAAAGGTGGCTCAGTAGCCACCAAGCTAGGAAACAAAGATTGGGACATCTGGGTCTGTCTAGGGGAGGTTAAAGGAGTATTTGAACAAAGTTCCAGAGCTCTAAGGACCCAACTGTGATACTTTGCTCATGGTGAGTAGTGCCTCACTCTACAAGGAGACCCACTGGTCTTGGGGGTTATTCATGGAGGGACAAGGACAATATGAGTAAGGGGTCAGAATTCAGATTAGGGTGGGAGTTTCAAAAGTGCTCAGCATTCTCCGCCACCATTGACATCCATGGTCAAAACCCATTGACGTTAATGGGAGCAGAGATGGGCCACCGCAGAGTGCTGTTCAGAATCCCACCTGTAGTTAGTAAATGGACTTTTTCTGGCCTGCGTTTTGCAGGAGCTCACACTAGGTGCTCCTAATGGATTCTTCTGGCCTTAAAATCCAGTCTCATCTATGAAACACGATGAGTCCAGGGGCAATGACAGACCAGGTGGAACTCTGAGACCAGTTTGAGACCTGCAGTTTGTTGGAGGAGGGAGTCTGAATTTGTCTCCCTGGGGTGTACTGGTGAGAAGCTAGGAAGCTTAGTTACCTGCACGGTGGAGAGCTGGGATTTGAGGAGGCCAGAGTAAAAGAGCTAGAGTAGGCAGGGCAAGAGGAAATGGTGGAGTTCAGAGCGGAAGAGTCAAGGCCACAAGGTACACAGGCAAGGTTGCAGCGATTGTGTTCAGCAGCTTTGCAGTGCAGGAGGGAGAGAGCTCTGGGTCAAGGGTTATTGGCAGCCAAAGCAAATAGGGAAACTGGGGAGAAGGGGAACAGAGAGTAGATGAAGATGCACTGGAGGATGCATCTTTCCTAGCAGAAGCTCTTCTCTTGGAGACGAGGAAGCGGAGATGAAGCCATGGGCTTGCTTAGCTAGTGACCAGGACAGGGTTTTATTTCATGGCCACGATGTTAGTGGAATGGCCACACCAGTTCAGCAAAAGTCACACTTATCCTTTCTTTTCCATCCAGGCATCACTGTCCTGCTGTCCCTGACAGTGTTCATGCTGCTTGTGGCGGAGATCATGCCTGCCACCTCGGATTCTGTCCCTCTAATAGGTACGTGCGTTTTCCATGCTACCTGCACCCAGGGCTGTGACCTTGCTTCCCAGGCTGTTTTGGAATGGCTCCATGTCGCGCCTGGAGACTCCCTGATCAGTAGTACAGGGGGCAAGGCGCTTGTTCAGACCATACAAGCAATGCACACATGGAAAACCGGCTTCACCTGTAAAGGTTTGTGTGAGGGGAGCAAAAGGGGGTTAACACTTAGTCTTGGGGAGGTGAAGCACAAGGGCTTTATGATGTTCCCAGAACCCCAAGATACAGATATATGGTGGGATCTTCAGATGCATTCAGACTAGGTTTAACTCAGTGCTAGTGAACCCAGAGGGAAAACCCTCATTGCCTTCAATGGGAACAGAGTTGGCTAGCACTGAGCACTTGTGAAAATCCCATCCCCAGACTCCTATCTCAAAATGTCACTGTCTGAGCGACAATTCCTTCTCCTCCTCCCCGTGAGCAGCCCTCCAGCTTTCACTAAGCACCCCTCACTCGCCCCTCCCTACCCACCTTCCCCCTCTGCTCTCCTTTGCCCTTCTCCTAAAGATGCCAATCACAATTAAAAGGAATACTGGGAAAACCCAACTGCATTACTGATGCATTTTCAACACACCGAGTGAATGGGCTAAATTAGTTGCTTGGTTGCCCCCACTGCAACTTGTTGCTCTCCATCTGGACTTTCTCCAATTTATCCTCAACTTTCCTGAAACATAGTGCCCAGAACTGGGCACAATACTCCAGCTTAGGCCTTATCAGCATGGAGCAGAGTGGAAGAATTACTTCTCATGTCTTGCTTACAACACTCCTGCTAATCCATCCCAGAATGTTAGTTTTGCAACAGTGTTACATTGTTGACTCTGATTTAATTTGTGATCCACTGTAACCCCCAGATCCTTTTCTGCAGTATTTCTTCCTAGGCAGTCATTTCCCATTTTGTATTTGGGCAATTGATTATTCCTTCCAAGGTGCAATACTTTGCATTTCTCCTCATTCATGCACTACACAATGTACTGTATCTAAGTGTTCGTCTACACTGAGGGAAAAAAAAGTGTGTTCTTAACTCGGGTTAAGATGGTAGTGAACACACTGCAGCTCCGCTTTTAACTTAGTAGGTCAAGTTCCTCTTCAGGCAGCCCTACAGGCATTACCTTGAGCGGCTAACCTGAGCTGATGTCTTCCCTGCTATTTTACCCCAAGAGAACTGAGGCACAGGAGGGCTAAGTGATTTGCCCAAGGTCACCCAGGAAGGCTGCAGCAGAGCTGAGAACTCTGCAGCAGAACATCTAAATTTCAACCCAGCGCTTTCATCACCTTCCTTTCTAATATATTCTTTTGGGAGAGTCAAATGACACAGAAGTTGAAAGAGTCATTCTTATTCCTCTAGAGAAATTGAGTTGTCTAGAATTTTGGGCAGATTGGTAGTAATACCAACATGCTTGCAGGCTGGGATGCCAGCTGAATTTCTTCAACATCACCAAGCCCCAGTGAAAGTGAAAAGCTTGACTTGTAGGGTATGTCTTCACTGCAATTAAAAACCCAAGCCTGGCCCGTGCCAGCTGACTCAGGATCACAAGGCTCAGGCTAAGGGTCTGTTTAATTGCAGTGTAGACGTTCAGGCTCGAGCCTAGGACCCTGCAAACATCTACACTGCAATTAACCCCTTAGCCCAAGCCAGCTGGCACGGGCCAGCCGCAGGTGACTAATTGCCGTGTAGACATACCCATAGTTACTTTTGGAAGTCAGATGCATAGCAGACTACAGAAAAGTTAAACAGCCATTGTGAATTACGTATTAATTATATTGCAGTCATGCCTGCAGGCTACATTTAAGATTGTGGCCCCATTGAGCTAGCCATGTTCATCCCTAGGGAGAGAGAACAGGCAACCACAAACACACCAGAAATTTGCTCCATGTCACATGTACCAGTGGACAACTAAGGCCTTGCAAAGACTGCATAGTATGCAAATACAGCTGCACTCATTCCAGGTGGCTTGATGCAACACACATGTTGCAAATACTACTGAAGCATTACAGAGTATGCTCCCTGCAGAGTTTGTTTCAGATGGCGGCCCTCCATTTATTTCAGAGGAATTTAAAATATTCTTCAGGAGAAGCTCAGGGATGAACGTGAGCTCAGCTGCTGATCAGAATGCATTGCATAAAGACAAGACGCGTCAGGGTATCAGAGCTCCCTCTGAGAGACAGCTGTTCCATAAACCTCAGTATGTGTGATTTATGCAGGCCAGAATTAACAAAAGAATTGAATGAAAATCTTAAGGACTCTCAGCGTGTGCTTCCCAACAACTGTGCAGTTGAGGAGGCTGTTGTCTGTAGGACCCCCGCCTCGTTTGTTGCAGAAGTTGGAAGGTGTGTATGAATGAGGCAGGGGACAGCAGGAAGAGAAACCAAGGTCTCATGGTTAGGGCAATTTAATGCCACCCTGGTGAACTGGATTCTATCCCTGCCTCTGCCACAGGGTTACTGGGCATGTCACTTAAACCAAAACTATCCTCATTTTCTGCGTTGCCCAGGGGTCTGAATGGCAGAAGAGCTGAGTGCTCACATCTGCAACTGAAGTTAAAGGGAGCTGTGCTTTGAACATATGAACTGCTATATAGAATGCTACTTACTCAGAACAATCGGATCCCAGGTGTCTCAAACTAGGCATCCAAAATTAGTGGATACTTTTAATCTATATCTCTGTGCCATTGTTCCCTGTCTGTACCAGGGGGATACCACCATCCCTTGACCTCACAGGGGTGTTGTGAAGATAACTTCAGTCCTGTTTGTGAAGCACTCAGGTACTGTAGTGATGAGCACTGCACAGAAGCCCCGGAGACAATTAATCACTCTCTCTTTGGAGCAGGGTTTGAATAGCGCGCAGAGAACAAAGCCTGAGGCCATACATTGACCACCAGGAGAAAACACAATATTGTCCAGCCTGTACACTGACTGAGCCATGGGCCTTCTCAAAAAAACAGAATGTGATTGTGTAATTAAAGACTGTATCATAATTCATACACACAAGGAGGCTGAATCAAGCCTGCACAGGCAACCTTCAATCTGGCATCTCCTAACTTTGGAGCGCTTGGCTTTGCAACCTTAACGTTCTTTTCAGGTAGTTTTTTGTGTATAACATCACTATAGAAGGTTTCAGAGTAACAGCCGTGTTAGTCTGTATTCGCAAAAAGAAAAGGAGTACTTGCGGCACCTTACGGACTAACAATTTGTTTGAGCGTAAGCTTTCGTGAGCTACAGCTCACTTCATCGGATGCATACTGTGGAAAATACAGAAGATGTTTTCATACACACAGACCATGAAAAAAAATGGGTGTTTATCACTACAAAAGGTTTTCTCTCCCCCCACCCCACTATCCTGCTGGTAATAGCTTATCTAAAGCGATCACTCTCCTTACAATGTGTATGATAATCAAGGTGGGCCATTTCCAGCACAAATCCAGGGTTTAACAATGAACGTCTGAGGAACAGTGGGGGGGGGGGGGGGGAAGAGGGGAGGAATAAACAAGGGGAAATAGGTTACTTTTTATAATGAATCAACCATTCCCAGTTTCTATTCAAGCCCAAGTTAATTGTATCCAGTTTGCAAATTAATTCCAATTCAGCAGTCTCTCGTTGGAGTCTGTTTTTGAAGTCTTTTTGTTGCAATATTGTGACTTTTAGGTCAGAGATCGAGTGACCAGAGAGATTGAAGTGTTCTCCGACTGGTTTATGAATGTTATAATTCTTGACATCTGATTTGTGTCCATTTATTCTTTTACATAGAGACTGTCCAGTTTGACCAATGTACATGGCAGAGGGGCATTGCTGGCACATGATGGCATATATCACATTGGTAGATGTGCAGGTGAATGAGCCTCTGATAGTGTGGCTGATGTTATTAGGCCCTGTGATGGTGTCCCCTAAATAGATATGTGGGCACAGTTGGCAACGGGCTTTGTTGCAAGGATAGGTTCCTGGGTTAGTGGTTCTGTTGTGTGGTATGTGGTTGCTGGTGAGTATTCGCTTCAGGTTGGCGGGGCTGTCTGTAGGCAAGGACTGGCCTGTCTCCCAAGATTTGTGAGAGTGTTGGGTCGTCCTTCAGGATAGGTTGTAGATCCTTGATAATGTGTTGGAGGGGTTTTAGTTGGGGGCTGAAGGTGACGGCTAGTGGCGTTCTGTTATTTTCTTTGTTAGGCCTGTCCTGTAGTAGGTGACTTCTGGGAACGCTTCTGGCTCTATCAATCTGTTTCTTCACTTCCGCAGATGGGTATTGTAGTTGTAAGAATGCTTGATAGAGATCTTGTAGGTGTTTGTCTCTGTCTGAGGGGTTGGAGCAAATGCAGTTGTATCGCAGAGCCTTGCTGTAGACAATGGATCATGTGGTGTGGTCAGGGTGAAAGCTGGAGGCATGTAGGTAGGAATAGCGGTCAGTAGGTTTCCGGTATAGGGTGGTGTTTATGTGGCCATTGTTTATTAGCACTGTAGTGTCCAGGAAGTGGATCTCTTGTGTGGACTGGACCAGGCTGAGGTTGATGGTGGGATGGAAATTGTTGAAATCATGGTGGAATTCCTCAAGGGCTTCTTTTCCACGGGTCCAGATGATGAAGATGTCATCAATATAGCGCAAGTAGAGTAGGGGCATTAGGGGCGAGAGCTGAGGAAGTGTTGTTCTAAGTCATCCATAAAAATGTTGGCATACTATGGGGCCATGCGGATACCCATAGCAGTGCCGCTGATTTGAAGGTATACATTGTCGCCAACTGTGAAATAGTTATGGGTAAGGACAAAGTCACAAAGTTCAGCCACCAGGTTAGCCGTGACATTATCGGGGATAGTGTTCTTGATGGCTTGTAGTCCATCTTTGTGTGGAATGTTGGTGTAGAGGGCTTCTACAGCCATAGTGGCCAGGATGGTGTTATCAGGAAGATCACCGATGGATTGTAGTTTCCTCAGGAAGTCAGTGGTGTCTCAAAGGTAGCTGGGAGTGCTGGTAGCATAAG